CATATAGACTCTACTTTCAAAGTAAATCTATCAGTAATAATATAAATATGATATACTAGATCACACTTACTTGCAACAAGTGGTGAGTACTGATTACAAATATTGAGCTGACTATTAGCAAATACTTGAGTAAGTGTTAGTTGTTCTCCTCCAGCTCGTCGCTCATAATACTGTGGTGAAGATTGATTGAGGAGATAAGGAGTGACTCTTGAATTAGAATTGGATAATGCCAATAGTCCCAATATGTCACCAGGTAGTACAGTAATATTCCCACCAGTAGAAGTATATTGATAAGATGAATTACCAAGAAATGTCACCTCATCACTGCTACCAATATTATGAATTCTATCGTACAAGTTAGTTGATGTTTCTCTCCATATCTGAATAAAAGGATATTCTCCTACTCCATCATCCTCTGTTGCTAGAAGAATAAAGCTAGATACTTCAACTTGACAAGTAAAATTAACAGAAAAGAACAGATACAGGTATCCCTCAGGTCTAGTGACAGAAGCATTTACTAAACCAGGTAATGAAGACTGCTCTATGAAACCATTAGGACACTGCCCTTGTCCATTTACTAGGAGAAGAAAAAAGAGAGTAGAGAACAGGTCTAATGCAAGACTAGATAGACCTACTTACCTGATGTATTACATATTAATACACAAAGAGTGGTACAGATCAAGCGAGAGAGAAGAGGATACATGTTTACTTCTTGAACAGCAATGAACAAAGAACAATTCTAACTTAATAATCTTGAGATCTAATTATTTGGTGTATTTATTACATTATCACTGTTCTAATTTAGACACTGAACTCAAAATTATTAGACTTCCCAAGTATAAACTTGTGATGGACCACTAATTACATTTTAAAGCAAACACAACCACAAAATTACAACAAAAAATTATAACTGGCACTATGTCCACATGAACTTTGAAACTTAATTTATGTACACATATTCAGCATTGTCTTCTACTTCTGCACTATTATTGGTAACATTATATGCTGGATTATTATTTGTGAAAATAACATTGAATCCATACGCTGGATTATCAGTGGTGATAACATGAGATATAGATCTATATTCTTGATCTTGCTTTAGTGAAGACATGTTATCCTGAACTTTTGTTGTAATGGATCCAGTAGTTCCTTGCTGTATATTACCATCATCTGATGGTTTATTAATAGCTGATGAGTTTCTTTTCACACAAATACATGCCACTATTATCAAAGGTGTAACAATAGCCACTATACATACTGTTGTCACTGTCACTCCAATTATTATAGCTGATGCTGTTGATAGAGTGGTAGGAGAGAGTGGCCTAGCTAAAAGATGAAAGGAAAAAGCATAATTAGTAATTAATCTCACAACTCACATGATGAGGTGTCAAATACTGATTTTGATGCTAACATTGATGCCGATGACGATGATACAAATATTGACTTTGATGTTGACACAGGTCCAGAAATAGTATCAGAAGGAATTATAGATGCTGCAATGCAATTTATTATAATAATCTTAATGATATTTACCTTCAGTAGTGACTCCAGTAACAGTAGATGTTTCAGTTATCATACTACTGCCACTAGTTGTAGTAGTAGAAATACCTACATAGTACTTTAGATTCATTTTGATAATGGATATACTTACTGAGTTCTGCTGCAACTAATGGATAATTATTAGCATTAAAATCCAGTGATCCTGTTATAGTTGACAATGCACCACCAGCTCTAAACCTATTAAGTGGGCCACTCTGTTTCTGTTCATAAAATACTAATCGACTTGAACCTGGTGAAGGAATATAAACACCAAATATGTCTCCTTCCTGAAACTGCAGTGGAATCTGAGGAATAAACTCATAGAGATTAGTACCAATCATTGTAACATCATTGAATGTGATTGAACTAAATGTAACTCTATTGTAACTACTTGAACTTTGTTGACGCCATATCTGGAACTCTGCTAATGCAATTTGATTATTGACTTGATCCTCAGCTCCAAAGATCCATTTAGTAACTGATCCATTACACAAGAAGAACATATCAAGGTACAAATATTGTCTTTGATTTTGAAACATTTGTGATCGATGGATTCTAAGAGCATTTCACCAAGAATGAAGCATGATGAAT